CGTTCTACGTACGGGAATCTTGTAGTAAGTTGAAACCTTATATTCAGAACAGGAGTTAGTTTGCATATTTAGTGTGCATTTTTCCAGATATGCTGGCAAAACTATTACTGTATAGGAATATTCGCAAATACAATATCTGACAGTTTCAAAGCCAAAACGAATGCTTCGCAATTAAATGTCACCCGATCGTGTTAGTCCATATTTTATATCTAATGATAAAAGGAATTGCTTTATAGATCTATGAGGCATAGCCCTAAGGTAGGCCTGTAATTGAAAGTTACTTTTAACACTGGTTGAAAGTAGTTAAACTACTACCTCAACCTCACTACTGCATACTTTACTACTTTACTTTTAAAAAAGAGGTTGGCGACCTCTTTTAACCTTGCATTTGTAAAAGGAATTGCTTTATAGATTTATGAGGCATAGCCCTAAGGTAGACCTGTAATTGAAAGTTACTTTTGACACTGGTTAAAAGTAGTTAAAATACTACCTCAACCTCACTACTGCACACTTTACTACTTTACTTTTAAAAAAGAGGTTGGTGGCCTCTTTGAACCTTGCATTAGCCCCTTCACATAGACTAACCGCCCGTGCGTGGAACGTTTACAGCAAAGCAAGGCGGTACAGGACAAAGGTGAACTGTACTGATAAATTTTAGTGGCAGTGACCAGGATCCGAACATCCGAACCCACGACATCACTGCCTTGGGCCCGAAGTCCGCGACTCTACCGACTGAGCCACCGACTAATTCACTTTAATCGGGTTGAAAAGGCGCTCTTGTCTTTTCCACGAAACACTAAGAAATAAGGATATTAATGCGTTACCAACATACATACGCACATAAATACAAAATTGAATTAGGGGATTTGCTACGCTTTAACCAAAGCAAATTACAAACAAAATAATTATTTGAAAGTTTTGATAGTGTCATTAAATTTTATGATAATCGTCTTTAGGCCTAATCAAACTGTAAAATTGGTGTAAATCCGTTGGCAAATATATAAATAAGTAAATAAATACACAGTCCACAAAATATTGATACGTTACCAACGCCAAGCTTTAAACATTCATGATGGTTTGCTAAAAAAAAATCTTTCAATAATGTTTTATCATTTTCATAGCATAAACTATGACTAATTTTGGAGTCCAGACAGAAAATGCAAAAATTATACAGTAAGACATCGATTAAATTTAATAAGAAATAAGGTGCAGCAATAACGATAACTATACTTGTAAATAGTAATGTGTTTGTACGTAAAAATGATTCTTAATGCTACCACCGGTTCTAAGGAAAAGTATCAGTACCAAAAACCAACGTTTACATTTAAGAAAAGAACTATAGTACTTACAACCAATTCAAACTGTCCTTCTAATCAAACTGTATTATAGGTGTTAATCCGTTGGCAAATAAATAAATACACAGGCCACAAAACATGTAAAATGTAACGTTAACAATGTAAACACTCACTATGGTTTGCTTAAAAAAACTTTCACTTAATGTGGTGTAGTAACAAAGTTATTAATATCCCTTGTTTTTTTTTTTAGTTTTCGTAAATCAAAGTTATTTCCCATTAATAGCATTATTTATAAGCAACTTTTAATGTTAACATATTAATGACAGTTTGAAGAAACCACCTTTATCCAAACAAATGTTTCTTATTTAAAAGATTACGTAATCTCTAAACGATAATCGGTACATATATCTAGCAAATATTCGGAGGAAATGTGACAAAAAAAGCACAAATCTGGAGTTTTGGACGTTTGTAATTTTACTTCTTAAGTTGGAAAAGTACCGATATCGTTGTCGAAATTTAAGTACTGTAAATTGGGAGAAAATTTGACAAAAATCGAACAAGATTGGGTTTTTGGTGGTTCGTTATTTTATTTTCAAAGAAGCGAGGCAATTTTTTTATAGCCAAAGAGACTCTCACCAATCCAGTAAATACAGAAAAATGATTAGAACCTTGATCGGTACTCTAGTTTTCTAGGAGTAGGCCGCGTAAAATGACATTTTGGCGTTACAGACGGAACCACAGAATGGACAAACAGACAATCAGACAAACAGACAGACGGACAGAGATTGAGATAAGACTTGTTTCGGCTTTCTTAGGCTATGAAACGTAAAAATAACCAAAAACTGCATGATTCTAAGCAATGTACAGACAAACTGTAATTTTATATATATAGTTATTTATATACTTATTTAACGCAAGCAGGATTTTTGTGACAATTACTCCTCCGAAACTACTGAACCGATTGACAAGTATTTGGTGTCATTGGAAAGAGCGTAACAATTAACAACAAAGAGCGAAATAATTAGAGAGTGAGGCCCTGGGGTCCTTTAAAGTTTTGTATTTCTCCATAAGATTAACATGGTAATCAAAAATTTTTATGAAACTCAAGCAGTTGTCAGAAATTAAATATTAATAATTTGTCTCCATGGAAGCATAAGAAAATTCACAATGTTTACATCTGCTTTGACATTTAAATGTAAACAACCAGAACTGTCAAATGCCTATTTCACAATTTCAGACAGCTGATTCAAAAAATTAAACAACTATGTGGTAGGTTTATTTAATCTTAAACTTTATGATGGATAAATTATTATAAATCTATTTCAATGATTATGAAACAGATTTTTCCCGTTGCCAAGCAAAAATTAATAGTGAGAAGAAGAACATGTTAATTCTAAACCGTCAATGTCACGTAAATTATCTATGTTGTATTAAAAATGTGTATAGTTTTGGACATTGGTTTGTGTTTAATGATATAAGTTATTAGTTATTGAATTTTTATTTTAAGGATTTGGCATATGAGTAAGTCTATGATAAATAACACCATTTCAGAATTCTGCCAGTTTTTGTCTAACTCTGTCCTGTAGAGTTTAAAGTAGCCTACACCTTATTGTCTACAAATTGGCTAAATAACTTAGGCATGGTACTTTATAAAAGCTGACAGCCTTTTTACGTTGACTTAAATTGTAAGCTTACCTTTTCCCGTCCATGGTTAGTTTGATTGTTAATAATTAACCCTTTAAACTGGAATAGGATTGTTATGTAAATTGTGAGTATTTCCATTAGTTAATAACCTTTTAGTTGACTCTTTTAAACTCATCGGAATTATGAGTATTATTATTTTTTAAACAAGTTGTTTGTTTATAAATAACTCTTGTACTTCTTTGCAATTGCACGATTTCGAGCAACATGTACACTAGTATAGATATAAAACGTGATGTATATAAAACTTGCATATATAAAAATTTGAACAGATGGTGTTTTTGTCTTCTGGGGACATCAAAATGAAAAAGTAAATCGGTCCCGGGTCCAGGTCTTACCATGAGACCTACGGTAATAAATTGTTCCCTATATGGGAAATTCGCTGAAACGATGAATTAAATTCCAAAGAGTGGAAAGATTAAACAATTGTCCATAATAGAAGTCCTGACAGCATACAGTGCAGATCAACTGGTGACACTTGCTGGAAACTTCCTCCAGGAATATAAACCACAAGTTACCTTTAAAAGTCTGTCAAGGCAGTTCACCGCACTCAATGGATTACTTCCAGTAGTTACGCAATCTTTAATAATGTTAATTAATCGATGACTATGTGAGAGTTATTCATCTTAAATTCACTCCTTTAATACTTACTCGATTTCGATAAATGGGTACACTACTAGTAGGGAGTACATCTGACAAATGCAAGGAAATATTTCACGGAAAACTTTATAGAGCAAATGACATTTTGCATATTCTGCAGGTTTGCTGCGGCTAGGGTATTTTATCTTTATAATTTATTATTGCACTTAAAATTGATATCGTAATTTTATTTTACTAGCCTTTATCAAGTTATGATAACAGATAATAAAAGAAAAATTTAGTTTAATATATTTTGACCCGAAACTGAAACTGAATTCAATAGACCATAGTGCTATATGCAACCATCGTCCTTGGATACTGTAACAAGGCCACACTAAAAAAATAGTTTTAGTGTGGCCTTGTACTGCAATAGACTTATTAATGTAATGTCTTGTACGTTTTATGAAGTTTCTTTCATGTTCGGCAAGCCTTGCGTTGATGATGATTAAATAAATGTTTCTCGTTTATATAAGGACAACTGTCTAAATTGTTCCCTAATCTTCAGTTAAATTATCAGGCGACACACTAGTTTACAAACAAGGTATTCAGTCAAAAGATTTATAGTAAAAATGTATTAAATATACGTACAGGACTGCAACATAAATAAACATTGTATTCAGCTAAACCAATAGGTATGATAATAAATTTATAAAGGATTGTGATTTAATCTATGATACAACAAACTTGGATTTGATACCTTTCAACAAGATGTTTAAATTAAAAATGTTTTGTGTTATAGGGTAAACAATGCCGAAACTTGTGATATTAGATGTTCTGGTTATGTTGCAGGTTTTATTTTGCCTTCAGTTGATACTTACTACATTAGTACGTTGAAGCGTTGTTGAAGTATATTGTCTTGGACGCTGTGTTGAAGGCGCCAAGGTAGGAAACCAACAGATATTTTATGCTGTTTCTAGTTGTACATTCGCATATTCTTCGAATGAAGATTTTTTGAAAACTTTTTGTTTCCTAGATTGGTTTAACTGGCTGAATAAAATGTTGACTGTGCTCTTTATAACAATATGAACATTAGGTAGTTTTTATTTGTTTCAATGTTCTTGTTTTCTGTTATTTCCAAAGAGATCAAAATATTTTACGATGGAAAAGATCGAATTAAGCATCAAAATACTGACCTACTTTTCAAAATAATTTTCTATTAGTTTTTTTTTATATTTCATCGATTTACTCATTTTATCGTCATAAAATCTGTGTTAACAAACTATCACAATTTTAAGCAGTGATCAAAACTTTTTAAATAAGTTTCTACAATAAAATATCAAAAGATATGTTTTATTTCAGGTTGGTATTACCAAATAGATTTAGCTTACTTCTTTTAATATGAACTAGTAAAACAGAACAGAACAGTAGATTTGTTACATTTTATTTTAAAAATATCACACTTGCTATACCGAATAATATCACATTATTTACTCTAAAACTATGTTTCACCACACACTATGTGGCTTCGCTCAGTCCGATAATGTAATTGGTAATGGCTTTGTAATAATCATTGGTCGTAGGAGATGGAGACTGATTCGAAACATCTGTAACAAAATTAATTATAATCAGTTTAACCTGCCGATTCATAATGGTGACTTTATTTTTTATTAATAATTGCAATGGACAAAACCATTGACTATACACTTCTACGGACCATATACAGGGTGTCTAACGAGAGGTGTTTCAAATTGATTACGGAAGAACGGCTTAACGTACAAGGATGAAATGAAATTATTTCCCACTAAATCAACCCAAAGGAATAACATAAAAATATTTTTACTTTTTCCCAATACAGGTTGTGACAAAGACTGAGGGTCACTAGTTCGAATCTCGGAATTTTCAAATGTAAACATTTGTCATGTTATACATCATTTTAAAGGTATTTGATAGACAAACATTTAGGAAAAAACAGAAATGAATTATCTTTTTCCGTTTCAAAGTGGCAGCAGTTTTTTTTTTTTTTTTTTTTTTTTTGAGAAAAATGTAATTTTTTTAGTACTCTGTGTTTCTTATACTAATGCATTTAGCCCTTCTCCAGTTGAATTTTCTTGAATAACAAAAAACCTAATTTTCCTATATCAAATGCATGTTATTTGGGTTTGACGTGGTTCAGCCATGGTTCAACACCTAATGAAACGGGGCCTTTATTGTTAAACCCAAGTAACATGCATTTGATATAGGAAAATTGGGTTTTTTGTTATTTACACAAAAACTAAAAGAGATACGATGTAAGTGTAAATTACAAAGTTGTTAGGAAATAAATTGATGTGCCACTTGACATATGTTGCTAATTGCAAATTTTCAACAATGAGCATTTGCAAACTTCCAAAAAATAATTTTATTTTTTTATTTTTATCATTTCAAAAACCGTTACTTGTAGCATATCAAAGTAAAGCTAATTTCATAACTAGTAAGACAATACAACTGGAGAAGGGCTAAATGTATTAGTATAGGAAACAAAGTATTAAAAAAAATATTTTTTTTTTTAACTGCCGCCATTTTTAAACAAAAAAAGATAATTAATTTATGTTTTTGCCAAAATGTTTGTCTATCAAATACCTTTAAAATGGTGCATAACATGACATATGTTTAATCATGAAAATTCTGAGATTCGAACTAGTGGCCCTCAGTATTTGGCACACCCTGTATTGGGTAAAAGTTAAAAATATTTTTACGTTATTCCTTGGGGTTGATTTAGCGGGAAATAATTTCATTTCATCCTTGTAGGTTAAGCCGTTTTTCCTTAATCAATTTGAGACACCTCTCGTGAGACACCCTGTATATATAAATGTGATCGGATGGTGTTTTTGGTCTCTAGGGACCTCACAACGGAAAAGTAAATCGGTCACGAGTCCAGGTCTTACCATGAGTACTACGGTAATAGCTTATATCATATAATAGGAAATTCGTTAAAATAGGTTTACCTCACTTTTTTTCTCCCCAAAATATAAAATTTACTGATTTCTTTCTAGACCATTTTTTATAGCTAAAAACTAATAATTGAGTATGTTTAAGGTCTTCTTCAGGGTTAATGGTTGCATAAAAACCTCAAAAAATTTTAATTTGAAATTCCTATGCTATTCTTATGGGAAATAAGTAAATTAATTGTGGTTTACTTGTTTATGTAGGCTATATATATTTTGATCAAATTTAGCAAATGTATTTATTTCATACTAAGCTATTACAGTTTCTATAAAAAAACCGTCTTTATTGCCTTCCCTGTAGCATTAAACCTACGTACTCATGAAACCTAATGTTACTTAAATACACTTACTGTTACTTAAGTACATCCGACAATTTTAAGGAAATATACTAATGCTAATCCAACACAAGGCAAATGGAATTTCGCTGCAGGTCTGCAAATGGAGTCTGCAGGTTTGCTGATGGGGAGGTTTACTACTTTCTCCCAGGTTCCAGGAGCGAGCAAAAAGTATATAACAAAACATTAATAGACGTTAATATTATTTTATTTTTGTGTGCAGACTACTACCTAAATATTCGAGCGGATCAAGTATATTGTCGTTGTAACTTTGTACATTTATATCATGCCATTGAGTATACATGCACTTAAACGCTTCACTTGCAGCTTATTTTGAGTATATATAGTTAAATTAATGTAGAAAGTTAAAATAGCACAGTTCATTGTTTTTATTATTGCTTGACTTAATTCAGAAGTAGTTTTAAAAATACAGTAAAATTTCATTAGTTCTAAGAAATTAAAATTATGTTTATTTTATTTGAGGTAAAGTAACTCTAACCAACAAACTCTGTAAAAACCCCGTTGTATAATACTCCTTTAATCTATGATACTAACCATAAGCTTTCGGGCCATAGCCCTAAATCAACTAATAAAAACATTAATATATTTCTTCTAGGTATATTGCCTATTTGTGTCTGTCTGTCTGTGTGTCTATGTGTTTGTATGAGCTAAACATAAAAACTACTGAACCGACTGGGCTCAAATTGCACACAAATGAAGCTACAGCTCCGAGGATACATATAGAACTATTCCCGCTTTGATAATCATTTAGGTCTCTGCCTCATGGGCTTTCAAAACGTGAGGTGAGAGATGTATAAGTAAATATTGTTTAATGGTATCCATGGTAACAAAGAACAAACCTATAAAGTTTAAAAATATAAAAGTAGAATTAAAAAGTGTCAAAATGAATTTTGTTTCACAATTCCACACAGCTGGTTCAAACATATTAAACGGAGACGGTATGTATCATAAACATAAACTAGGGGGCGTTCGCAGAATCATCCCCAAAATTGAGCGGAGTCATCAGGGTTCATATTACATTGTTATTGACCTTCTCCACCGAGCTTCATAATTATTATAGTTTTAAGTGAAGACAACATTTGTGTAGATATATTGTGGTAATTAGATTGGCTACACATTGTTTCGTAGTGAAGGGGAGTAAAAAAACAGAGAGATGTCAAATTGGGCTTTTTTGGAGATATGCATTAACATTTTAAGTTTAAAACTTTCTGGGTGTGTCATCAATTTTTTCTCAAACAGGGTGGTACAGTTCCAGATCGTGAAAATCTAGAAACCACCCATTACAGTTTCGGATTCTACCATTTTGGCTACTGACAGTTTCCCGTTCCTTCCAACACGTTCGGAGTCTAATAATACAAAATTAACTCCATTTTCAAGCACAATGTCCGCATCATCTGACATCTCAATTTTGACTGATCTGTGATGTAGGCCTACTGTGACTAGTGGGGGCGACCACTTGCTCTTGGTTGCTCTGCTCTAGTATAACCACGCCATCGGCAACTGCATGCTTGCCCAAGCGTGCGCCACCATTTAACTTGCCCAAGCGTGCTTCCAATGTAAACGCAGCCTAAGACGTTGGGTTTTGGCTAAAATTGTTGTACTTCCTAGGGCTGATGCAGGGTGGTTCCTAGGGTTGCACCAATGGTCAAAGGAATTTGCAAGGGTCGACTAAGTCCTCCCTCCCAAGAATGTCCAGTTGCACCGGCGGTCAACAATTTGTCACGTTTGGATGCTCCTTCCCCTCCTTGAAAGCTTTTATATACCTATCCCCTCTTTTACGTTCAATCGTATGTAGTCTGCGCTAAAAATTACCATATTTAGGGAACTAGCAGCTAACCCCTTATTTTTGCTACGGGGTAAAGAGTAACAAACAAACATTACAAACACATATACTTGATATCAACACACCTTATCAAATAATTTTTCCATAAAACGTTTATCTTTTTGTTTTGAAATATATTTACTGATTTGTATTTTTTGTAAATCTAACCTAACCTAACCTAACCCAACCTAACCTAACCTAACTGTGCTAACTACGTTTAACAACATTTCAATGGGAAGGGAGGGCGTCAGGGATCTTTGGCCGCTGGTCCAACTGGGCATCACCCTAAAATGACCATCGGTGCATCTGGGCGTTCAAGATTAGGGCCACCCCTGACCATCGGTGCAACTGGGCAACTGCCCTTCCTAGTGGTCCTTTTTGATATTGACAAGATCTAACTATTTGCTACGTAGCGGCATTTAAAACACATCCTAAAATCCACTATTAATTATTGAAGGAAACGGCGTATGGATGATATGTAAATTTTGTTAACGTGTATGGTTTTCATTCAAACTAACTTACTTATCACTTTTTTATGAAAGCTAATACAAAAAATTCAGCTTTTCTCAAGTAAGCCTATCGCATAAAAAAACAATATCAACTAAGACTCTATTATTTAAAAATATGTATTTATTACCATGTAAACACGTCAAACTTTGATCGCATTAAAACTCTTGGTTTGGTTCTTTTGAAACATCACAAGATTCATATATTAATTCACAAACCAATTCATCGATGATACACGGGCTACTAAAAAGATTAAAAATTAGCTTTTCCTAAGTAAGCATAGGACATTTCAAACACAACTTCAACTGTTAATTTAGTTGGATGGTCCGAAAGCAAACATGTTTGTTTTATTATTCAAAATGGATCTGTCAATAAACGTCCAAACAAGATATTAAGGCTATTAGTATAAGATTCAAGCTAGTGTCGTCATTTGATTATATTTATGATCCTCACAGTTTCTGTTCTAATATCTGTGGAATATTGCTATCAAGTATTTCTTGATCTACTGCATTCAAAAGCCAACAGCTGATTTTATGCCTTTAAAATGTTAATTTATTTTTATGTGTCAAATACTGCTTCCATAAGGATTACATTGAAACTTTGAGACCCCGTGGGACGGGTTCATGAGATATTTTTTAACACCATATAGATGTTGGCACTCACCGATATGGTCTTTGTCACCATGCACAAATTTAAATCGATTGCTTCAGCCGTCTAGGAGGAGTTTGCGTATTACGAAATGCATAAGAGTCGAGGTATAATAGTTTCGCTCGTTCCGCTCAATAAATGACGTCACTCACCCGAATGACAATTAATATTATTTAACATTACTTAAATGGAACTGTCAAACTATGTCATTAGTATATACTATTCTTTCAGTTACGTCATTTGTTTATGTTTATGATTTATACTGAATCTGTTCTAATATTTGTGAAATGCTGTAATAATATTTTTTTGTAAAATAAATTATTTATGGATATAAGAAATAATTAACATTGTATAATCATTGCCGTGTCAACCTAGGCTCTTATCCTGAGTATTATGATAATTATTTTTTGATATATTTTTGAGTAAACAGTAATACCCCTGCCACAGCAAACCTACAGACTAAACGAATCTCCATTTGACTATAATAATTCCAATAAAATATGTTAGAACATTACACTATTGACAGGTTTGGAACTATTGTGATAGCTATTCGTTTACAGTACAAATCATTAAACATTTTGATTATACCTTAAATTCTATCATTGGTTTCGTATCCTAGGTAGCCTAAATAAGTGTTCACAGTCTGAGTTAACAAAAACGTACTATTACCAAGTTAAACAGTTCAATTTCGTTTCTAAATTAAGTGTTAGGAGAGAAACCATTTATAAGGCATTTTCAGAGAACCAACATAGTTTTTTTTTGCATTCTGACCCTGTTGCAAGGCACGGGTATAGCTGCTAGTGTTAGGATAAATTCGTAAGTTGTTAGGTTAGGTAATGTTTTTATGGCTTAAGCAATTTCCTTAAATAAAACAGCTGTTCAACAATAATCATTAAGACCGAGTTACAGTAAACAAGTCAGGTAATTGTTCAAAGGATTGTTTATATAAAGCAATTATATAAAATGTTAAAAAGATAAAATGTTAAAAATGGTAATTTTGTTCATGCAAATGTAAGGGATTTGAAAGTACCACAAAAATATTTTAAAACCTGCTCGAATTGTGTAGAGTTTTGAAATCTTCATTGCAAAAATGGGCAAGTAATATAAAATCAAACGTTTCATCCTCTTCGTGTGACACTTTTTCTATATAAAAATGTAAGTCCTAAGGACATATTTAGTTAAAAAAGATGATAATTATTATAAAACAGGTTTAGTACGAACAATCAACAACTTTAAGGTCCATGGATGGTAATTTGTGTGCATAGCCAGAGCCTATAGTTTTCAAATAATATAGAGGTGAAGATGTTTTAACGTAATGTGAAATAAGTTAATTTATGAAATGTCGTTCTACGAGCCCTAGAGGAATCTAGCTAATAGGCGCTTCTTACTCCAGAGTGCTGGTTAACGTTCTGTTTTGTAAACATAATATTCATTTAATCCGTTACTCCCTACGGCTGGTTTTCATCCCAAATATTATCTACAGTGTCAAATTCAAACTTTGTTTTAATTTCGCATTTTTTCTGATGAAAAAACTTTTTAAGTAAAGAGGATTTGTAAAATCAATCCTATTACATTTAACAAGTACTCAAATTATAATTTAGGTTTTAAAATGTAAACTGTCAAATTTTACATTAGCCTTAAAATGGCACGAATATGTAAATATACTTCCCCAAAAATTCAAGAGGAATCTATCGTAGCCAAGTGAACTCTAGCTGTATGAAAGCCTCAAACTGGTTAGCTAATACACATAATACACATAGCTATTATACACATAGTAAATTTATCATCACTGTTAATTTCCGTATTTGAAAATAATAAACACTATTTCAACCAAACATTTCATCTCATTATGGAGGTCCAGGATACATACCTTTTAAAGAAGTCCCCATTTTATTCATCACAAATTTATATACGATTCGGAGACTTGTCCCAAGAGTGATTTTTATCGTTTTTAATCACTCACAAACGTCTATGGTCCCATCATTGTAGTCAAACATTTCACTGGGCGTAATCCTAACACATTTTACGATGGTTCCACTTCCTGAATCCTCACTCTGCACAAGTAGTAGTCAGCCATCTCACAGAATTGTCAAACTACCCAACACACTTCAAACCCCGCACTGACGGCACCACACACACCTAGTGCAGCTCTGCTGTAGTGTGTACTTATACCCAACGTGGTCCACAGGGATGACTCAGGCAGACTCCTCTATCTCGACACACGTCTGATAATAAATCCTCAGTCCTTGGATCACGTAATTCAGCGATTTAGCGGGTACAGCCTTGGAATTACCTTGAAGCTAGCGGTCATGTCCGTGACGTCATGGCGGGGGCGGGAGGATCTGAGGTAATTTGATTCTCTATAGTTGGTCACAGTGGCACGATGTTTCCGGTCGTTAAATTAGTGTCACACACACTTACACTTAAGTCGAAAAAGTGTATTGTTGGTTTGGTAAGGTGTTTGAAGGTTCTGTTTCATAGTAAATCCGTTCTATTGCTGCACTTAAAGAGTGTAGTTTTTTAGGTTATGTAATTCAGGGAATTAAACTAAAATTTAATACATATGATGGACATTTTAAAATTAAATTTCTAACGGAATGTTTTGAACATTATCATAGGTTGACTCCAACATTAAAAAACCATATAATGATTTTCAGAGTAATGCTGATGTTAAAAGTCAATTGTTTTATGGGTTTGTCAGTCCAAAGCTGAAAAGAGCTTTAGTTGAATGTATACAGGTGGTTTGTGTCACATTTAGCACCGAAAGATATAATGTAGACCATTAGTGACTTAGGGAAGACTCTCACTTATTTGCTGTAGAGAGTTCAGAGTCGAAGGTATTTGGACGTACCTATGCAGTTTCTACTCTTGTAAGTTACTGGCTTGCTTGGAAACAGTATTTATGACTCCCAGAGACTACAAATCCCAACTTTTTTGGGTTTATGTTATCTCTGTAGCGTTGGGGCCACGAGTGATGTCATCGTGATTCGGTTAACGTAATTTGCATGGGTAATTTTACAATGTAATGACCATGTCACAAGGTCCTCACGACCAGGGAGCCTCAATAAGTGAGAGACTGCGGTATAGCGGTGTGGTCTCTCAACGAGCCAATCATGACCTATGGCTTCACTTGCCTACAGTTAGATTTGTCTTAAGAAACCCCTGATTTAATTTCATATTTTGTTGTGGTGTTTCCGGACCAATTGATTGACAAATAAATAAAAGGTTAAAATACCTGCTTGTCGCCTTGTGGTCCTAGTATTGTCCTAGTGGATTATGTACATTTCGGCGCGAACGCCATCGTCGGATCCGTATAAGAACTGTTTACACTAAACTTCCCTGAAGAGGTGCGTAAGATGTCCACAACACAAAACACATATAAACACTGGTCGACCGTTAATAAACATTTTTAACTTTTGCTACGCGTGCACGGGCAGGATATGGAGGCGCGCCAGACGTGTGTCTTTGAGTCGAGTCTCGACACACGTCTGGCGCGCCTCCATATCCTGCCCGTGCACGCGTAGCAAAAGTTAAAAATGTTTATTAACGGTCGACCAGTGTTTATATGTGTTTTGTGTTGTGGACATCTTACGCACCTCTTCAGGGAAGTTTAGTGTAAACAGTTCTTATACGGATCCGACGATGGCGTTCGCGCCGAAATGTACATAATCCACTAGGACAATACTAGGACCACAAGGCGACAAGCAGGTATTTTAACCTTTTATTTATTTCCCTGATTTAATAATGCATACTGTCTTCCCTTAATGCCATAATACAACTGCTACGTTTCTAGTTCATAAAATATTTAAATAGTTTTATCTCGCTAATCACATTTGCTAATTTAGCAATTAATTGAAGAAGAAGTTTTATCCAACCTGTAAATGTTTATCTTTTTTTCCCAAATCTCCCTCACATTCACATCAGTATTTTTTTACTAAATCACAACCAGACATTCAAAGATTTTATTTGCATCAATTGTTACGTTTTTTTACTATATAAAACACATGCCAGCAGCTTTTACAGTAATCTTCCGCTATATCAGTTACTGTAATAATTCCAATAAAACGTTGAGGATATGCGAATATATATTTACAGTATATATATATATATCTATATATATATACCTAGTAAATATATATATTTAGGATATATATATCTACAAACACGAAATAGTTTGAGCCAAACTTAATCTGAGTATGAAATTTATGGAAAACAAGTAAATTAGCGTCCTGGATTGGAAGTATAAACAGGGGAGCAAAACCTTTGAGCCAAGGAAGATGTAAAAATTGGAGGAGGACTTGAGTCAGTTAAGAAATGGTTACTATTACTCGTACCGCGATGTGTTATCGGCAAAGTATGTTACTTAGTCTATGATATAAATCCAGGCTTTTTACAGAAAGACTAGACATTACCTACCTCACCTGAAATGTTTCCCCAAAAATAAAGTATGAAATGGAGTAATAATAATAGGATTTCATACATTTTGAATAGGGTACGGTATAATGCCTAGGAATTTTATCAAATGTGTACAAAAATGTCAGGCAAAGTATTAAATAGTTATGTTCAATAAAGCTATTTACTTTAAAATATTTCAACTATAAGTATAGTTGAATAGTTAATGAATAGTGTTATGAACAGTTATTTTTTATATATTTATATTTATATAGTATTATATATTAAACAAATAAAGATATTCAGTATATGAGTGCAATTACGAAGACATACACTAGTCAGACTGACTTTTATCATGAGCAATTTATAGGCTATCTCGGTTTGTCATATAAGTTCAGAACATTTTTTTAACACATCATATTAAAGGAGTAAATTTGAAGTGCAGCAGTAATAGCGTATCAACTTATAAATCGAAACATGGGAACGCATAAAACACTATTATAAAACGACCGCGATGTCCAACTGGTGATCAACAGCTATTTTCCTGCTTGTTTATTACCGGCTATAACAGTTTCTACGATGCGTCTGTTATGCCGATTTATCAGTAATAATAATCTTTTAGGTTATGTACAGAGAAGTGCATCATTGATGGCGGCCTTGAAATCACGTGACCAAACTTCCCGCCATTTCCACCGCCATCAGTGATACCACTACTTGCATGATAGCCTGATTAATGAGCGAGTATACACTGCTGACATGATCATATTATTAATGACTACACCGTGAATGATGTAAGCATGTTTACGTGAGCCAAGGTTGTTGCATGCTTTATTAGATATATAATTATATTCCGTCCGTGTTTTACCGTTTACGGACGAAGGGTATGAATATATTTAAATCTCGTTGCCTCTTCAGGAAGAATGTGTGAATGTCAACAGTCCATGTTCTTACTCTCTGAAAAAAATCAAGATCTATAGAATTCATTAATGTCGACATAATTAAGTATATATTATAGCTTACATAGTTGTTTCCCCAATACTCACATATGATTAATGTTGAGTATTTTATGAAGAATATTTGGGTGAAGTTTCTGTTTCATTCCGTCAATACAACAATACAACACTGCCAACAAGAGGTGGAGAGTGAATTTCCGCCAGGGGTTTTGAAACAGTTTCTTTTTAAGTATTACTTCACAAAAGTTACTCTTCCAAGTTTTAAATAAAGTTTTATTCATGTCAAGAAACGCTGCTGGTTTCATCTCAAACAATAATGGTTGTTTTTAACGACCATTTAAAATATCTTTGTATAACTAAGTACATTTTAGTTTTCATTTGTAGAATCTTGGATCTTGATCAATGTATATTTTGAACTGGTTCCAGACGAGTATTTTCTAGCACAATATGAAAACCGCCCACTAAAACCCAGAGAATATGTAACCTACATATTAATACAGAAATAACCTAATGTTATTCGTTTCGATCCCTACTATTTTGGAGTATGATAGGGTCATATAGGACGTAAATTTAACTGGATTTTCTCAATTATATATGCCACATGAATAGAAAAGTGAATATTATTTACGATTTCACTCTCAAAATGTTGATCAATGATTGGATTTTCAAACTTATTAATTTTAAATGGAGAAATTTCGAACTTTATATCCCTTTCAGTTCTTGATAAAACCGTATTATGACCCTAATTGCTGTAAAAATTGTGGTTCATAAAATATTGAAAATTATATGATATTCCCATAAAAGCCCATAAAATTACGTAAAAACGGATTCTCAAAATAACCAGTCGGCCAATTTTGATTAAAACTTAGTATGTTTTAGATCTGGTAACTCTACACAAAATGTTACAACCCCCAAAACTGTAAATACTACTGTTATGTCTGACAGGGATTATTATTTGTATTAATAGTATCTTACAAACGTTCTCTGACAACGGAACTAATTTTGTGACTGCAGAAAAAAAGCTCCAAAACATGTTCAAATCCAACGCACCATCTCAATAAACGGAATCAGATGGAAGTTTCCTCGTACGCCCCACATGGAGGTTGCTGGGAGCGTCTCGTGAAATCCGTGAAAACTGCTTTGGGGTGTTGTGCGATCACAGTACCCTCGTGATGAAGAGTTAGTGACTTTGATAGTCAGATTAGGATACATACTGAACTGTCGATCTCTTACTCATGGATCCTGGAAACCCCGAGCCATTGACGCCCAACCATTTCCTCAGAGAGGCATTTGATTTGAGTTTCTATTATTGAACACAGCCTTTGTATGAAACAGCTTGCAAGAATGAAACCCCTCTTTGACAGCCTTTGGAAATGATGGGTCCATGAATATCTTCCATGTCTAACCAAGCGATGCAAGTGGATTATGAGAGCTGTACCACCAAAATCGGTGACTCATAGCAGACGAAAACAATCAAAGGAGTACTTAGCCTCTTGGACGAATATCAGAGGCATCCATTAAAAAATGGACAAATACGAATAGTTGACGTAACCACTTCATATGGGACATTTATAAGGCCCCATATACAAGATAACGATTTTTTCAGAGGGCAAGAATATGTAACTAGTTAACTGTCTACGTTAAACTTCTACAGTTGATTTGTTTTTGTTTATATACGGTGTCCAATACACCTTATTCTGTTCTAGTTAATATAACGTCTGACAAGGATTTTTATTTCTATTAATCATTTCTTCCAATTACGATTCCAAAGTTATCGTAACATTTGTCATTTTACCCATAAAATACCTTACTCCCACCGCTTGATCATAATAGGGTT